ATTATTTATGAAACATATAGATTTCGATAGAAAGTTTAAAATAAACTCAATAAAATTAAAGTAGTTTATTTAACTTCAAAATACAATGTTAAATATCTATTAGTTAAATTAACTGCTTAATCTATTTACTATTATAACATTATAATTTATAATATGATTCATAAAAACTCCCAAACTTAGAAAAAATTAGGAAGTTTTAGGTATCAATAGAATACAATACCGGAAGCTTTTTTTTTAAACACGAGATCAATTACTTTAAGACATATGTTATTTTCACTACAAAATAATATTAAAATGAATGACCTATTTAGAGTACTATTTTTAGTAGATAAAACTTCGACAAATAATAAAACATATATATTATATATTATTTGGATCATATAGATAATGAAATAATGAATAAAACGTCAATGCTTATCACTTGAGAATTTAGTTATAAGCTTCTTAAGAATACGAGACCCATTATTGTCATAACCTTGAAAATCCCTTAATTTTCTGTCTCACTACAAAACAAAAACTGAAACTGCCCATTTCTCTTGCCTAAAAATAAACCACGACCCCATACGTAGTTGGTATAGGCTTGTCATATTCATTATTTTACTATCTACTAAGATCTACTAAGTTATTACGCAATAATTATTATGTACATTTTGTCAAGAATTACCGATATAAGTATAAATATTATAATTTATAATTGTGAATGTTAGGTAGGTATATAATTTTAGTTACAAATTTGAAAAATATTTCCATACAACAATACCTCAACTACTCATACTGGTATATCTAACTACATTTTATTTGTTACCAAGTGAATAAATTTACCATTTTAAAAGACATAATATCTAGCATATTATTGAATAATATGACATTATTCTTTCATACAAACTATTTCGTATTATATTATTTGAAAGTTTGAAACCATTTTTGAAATTACGTATTACAAATTAAACTTTAATTATTTACATTTTATTTTATATTCTGAACGTAGAAATTAATGTATTGATTTTACAATGCTGTGTGGTTTTTATTTTTATTTTTAGTGTCTGAAGACACATTTTCTAGTAGAAAAAAATAAAAATGATCTCTACATGAACGCCCATCGAGATTACTTGTATAAAATTAGACCTAGTTGATACTTTTGGGAGGTCAAAATTGAAAGTTCCTTGTTCCTATTTTTTTTTAAATAATCGGAAAAACTAAAAAAAAAAAATTAGGTTAAAATTGTAATGATTGTTATTTATTTGTTTTACGGACTTATTTTGTTCAGTTTCAAATACTGTAATAATAATAACAATAGTTAGTATAAGTTATAATTAATTAATTATAAGTAAATGGTTTAGCATTATACGAGAACATTAAAATAATTGTTTGGTAACCTTAATTACCAAAAAGTTAGACCATTCGAAGCTCAGAATCGTTTTCATCGTATGCAATGATTTATTATTGAATTCAAATTTAACCCGTCATCCATTACAGTGCCTACTCAATTACGAGGTTCACCCACCGACTCTTACTGTACTCTTACTGTTACCCGGTGCATCCGAATTGCATGCCAAAAAAATAAATATAAATCGGGTCGTCCGAATTGCATGCCGTCTCTTGGAGGGGTCTGTCCGAATTGCATGCCGTCTCTTGAAGGGGTCTGTCCGAATTGCATGCCGTCTCTTGGAGGGGTCTGTCCGAATTGCATGCCATCTCTTAGAGGGGTATATCCGAATACATAACTTACTTTTCAACTGGAGGATCGGGATTTTGTTACATTACAATAAAACATATAAATATTGTAGAAGGTGACACTGTGAATAAGAATCATAAAAATATAAAACTATTTTTTTTTCATCGACAACAAAGGCCATTAGTTAAATAAAACTATTGTAGTTTAGGGTAATCAAGTGAGTGTATTTTAAATAATATTATTTTTACTCCAATATTTACTCCAATATAGATACTGTTTGGGAAAATATTTACACGGATATAAAAATATTTCAATCCAGAAACTAATCACTAAACAGTTGTAACAACCATACACAAAAGAGCGTTTCTATACATGCATTTTTTTAAAAAAATTAGGTAAGTCCAAAAAAAAGTTTAAGTTGTTTAAGTGCATAGTAAATAAACGTGTGGTGTACGGCATGCAATCCGGACAAAGCCCTCTAAGAGATGGCATGCAATTCGGACATACCCCTTCAAGAGACGGCATGCAATTCGGACAGACCCCTCCAAGAGACGGCATGCAATGTGGACATTTTTTTTTTTTGGCATGCAATTCGGATGCAGCCCTGTTACCACCTTCCCCTCTTTTTACAACCATTTCCCAAGTGTAAAAAATAATTTATTTCTCATTTTAGATGGCAAACTTCTAATTGAGTAAGGTACCTATATGTTATTGTTTGTTTTCTGTAATAAGTAAATACAACTTTTTCCGAGTCTTTTTTGAAACGCTACATCTATTTTTTTATATTTTAGTAGCGTGTACACTACACATATTACATGGTTTTAAAGAAGTTTCTCAGTTTGTTTGTTCTGTAGACTTCTATAAGTAATTAAAAACAAATATAATATAGTTATAACAAAAAAATAAATACTTTTGATAAGTTATTTAAGATATAAAGGTTAATACTACGTGTTTTCACTACGAATATCTGATTTAGAAATGAATAAACTGAATAAGTGTACTTACTACTTTTACAATTATACTCTCCGTAGAAGTACTGAGATGTATTTAACTATTCAAAAAAATATATATGAATATGATAATACTATTATTTCTATCATTCTTAAGAATATTTGTATTGATATTTTTTCTATTTTCTAATACTACTTGACCCTCACTAGTTACCTTCATGTATTAGTTTATAGTATAGTGATTAAATTATAAAACTACTGATATAAATATATAATAAAATAAAACATGGGACATAGCTATATTTGATTATAACTTTAAATAACTCAACTAAAAAATATATCCAGTAATTACACTAAACTGTTGATAAATAAGGTCGATCTTTCTATATTTAATCATTTATTTTGCGTCAAAGTTTAAAGTAGTATAGTTTCTATGCAGTTTAATTAGATAAAGAATATATATATAATATAAAAATTATAAGATTAATTGATAAAGTTCTTGAATAATTTATTTTAGTATACTTTCATGAATAAAAGTATAAAACTTAAATTGATTATACATATTTTATAAGTTATACCACAGCCTAATGTGAATCGAAAAAAAAAATGTAGGAACCTCTATAATTATAGCCTACACCTAGTTATTTTAACCGATTAGTTTTAAAATATTACGGAAGTAAAAAATTGTTGTTTTATAGAAATTCGACATTACATACGAGTATGTTACTAGCTATATGATAATATAGTGTACAACGTGGTAATTTAGATATTCAACTTATTTTAAACAGAAATAAAAAACACATATTGTAAAATAAACTTATGTTTTCATACTATAAAAAGCTTTACGAGTGCAAATTCATGTTCTCCCAAAAATTTCATAGTTTACATTTCAACAAATTTAAATTATTTTGTTAAGTCTCACACATAACGACTTAATATATTTATTGATTCCTAGTAAAACATGTTAGTTTTTATACAGAAAAATATGTTTAATACATTTTACAGTATTGTGTAATGTAGGTACTAATGTGTATACTGTATAGTGTAAGTATACTGTTTATAGTGTATAATTAGTCAAGTAATATTATATAGGTACCAGCCCATATAAATGTATATTATGCTTATCCTTACTTAATACATCATGTAAATTCCGAGGTAAACCCAAAATATTAATTTGATATTAAGTTCTTAATAAAAACTAAGAAAAATTAAATTAATATTTTGAATAATTTTAGACTTTAGTTATAAGTTGGTTGACTAGTAGTCGAGTTATTCTCAGAAAAAATCAATAACAGTAAAACGCACATGAATTACAAATATGTTTCAGTGGTAACAAGAAAACTACAACAGAATATAGTTAAATACACGTCTCTAGATGCATATTATATAAATGAGCCACATTAATCCCAAAAGAAGTTTTCTAGTATAAAATCTAATTTCGTAATCTGGCCAATAGAACTTTTAGCTTCGGGAACCATATAGCAAGTGAATTAATTATTTCGATCCAGTTGTAGGCTCTCAGCTGTTCCATTTTTAATCTCATACCCTACAGGGATAACAGGAATCTAACAAGGAAGACATTTTTGAGATAATTGGGTTTCGGTTTTTAGTTTAATTTAGGTGCCGTGTACATACATTTTACATGGTGAAATTTCACAAACCCATTCCATTCAACGCTGCAGCATAAACTGCACAGTAACCACACACATGAAACTCTCCCGTGAGTCGACGATACACGCTCAGAATACAACGTATTTTTATTATGAAAATTAAAATAGATAAATAAATAATATATAGTATTATGTGCGATTTTGTGTGTGTTCCTCGTGGAAAATGTTGGTCCCGGTGCCTTAAATATCTTAATCCGTCGTAGACTCGAGTAGACTATATACATACCTACTTTAAAATATTAAATATTTAATAACTTTGAAAAAATCTATAACTGTAGGTGAGTACTTAAAAATATAGCCTCGCCATAATATAATATAAGGAAACGTATAATCGACGAGTATCTTGAGCAGTACATATAGATGTAGGTAGGTATAATAATAACGACTCTCGTCTCCCCGGTGGGGACATTTACAGAAGAAAACCCAAAAAAATGTGTATGTAATATTTTATTGTTCGGTATAGACGTATAGATTTTATATACCTGCACCGCTTCTATATAATGCAACCCCCCGTCAGGCCGCGATCTGATCTTTACAGCAGCCAATAATAACTACCTACCTATCTATATAATAATAAAGATAACAGCAATAACAATCGAACGGGCTCAAACTATCGAGCAGAAAGTATATATTTGGTATGGCGTTAATGTATTGTATTATTACAGTCAATATTCAATATTATTGCATTATGCAAACCACTCTAACCTGTGTGGCGTGGCGATGGTGAGCCGTAACGGCGATTGCAGTCGTTGATTACTAGCGACGGTGGCGTCCCTGCGCATCCTCCGGTGCTGTTCCAACAAGCCGTCCCGGTCGTATTCCGCAGGCGTATAGTGCTTTATGAAATGGTTGAGCGTCGGCAATTTCCCTGAGAAAATAATATGAAAAGACGTTTAGGAACGTAATACAATAATATGAACACAATAATATTATTATAAGATAAAAACGTTGGTACATGATTTTTTACGATAATATTACAATATCAGCCTTCAGATGCACATAACGATTATAACAATAATCGCACACCGTGACAATAAAACATTACAATACTATTACAGCATTATAGGTATACCTGCAAGGTATCGTAACACTATAGGCGTGTATGCATAACGCCCTCGTGCTCACGGACACACTATATAGGGACATTGGAGATAACGTATAATTCCAAGAGTCTTCAGGGCAGTAACTATATTATCACATTGAACATTTTGATTACAATCAATCTATCTTTTGATAAAATAACGTCTTAATTCTCTACAAGACTTCTTTTATCCGCGTTTGTCAAAAGCGACACGTATGATTAATACTACATGCCTATAATCGTTGAAAAATTTAAAAAATATATATTGTTTAAAAATATTTTAAGATGTCTTATATTTTCCGATTAACGGTAAAAGATGTATTCTGCAGATTACGTCATGTACTCTGCAGTCTGAAGTATTATTGCATACGCCACAGTATACCGACCAGAAGCAATACAGCAACAGCAGCACTAGTGGTGATGAAAAGAATCGTATGCATATAATATATATATATATTACCACCCCTCGCAGCGAGCACACTATTATCGGGTGATTCACATTGTGGTGGTAGTTGTGGCGGTGGTAGTGTATGGTTGGTTGGTAGGTGGGGGAAGGGTAGTGGCCAGGCGGAAAAATAATGACCAAACACCAACACCCGCCGTGGCGTCCCGGATGCACGCGCCAAGGGGAGGGCAAGAAATAATACCTTCATAAATCTGACTGGTTGTATAATTGAAAACGACTCACACACCTATCTCGCTCACGCTCACCCTTCTTCTTCGGTCACCTCCCCCCCCCATCCCACCCATTCGAACTATATCTCTCTCTCACACACCATAAATAAATATATACATATAATTTATAATATATACACTATATGCAAAACGCGAATATTGCCGAGGAATGTGTCCCGCGCGTTGGCTCCCCACTGCTGCTTGTTTTATAGCGGACACCTAAATCGATATTTTGATAGTCCCTATTCGCACGGCCTATATAATATGTATTTTATATACGTGTTTACGTATACACATCGCTGTGCACATATATTAAATGTATGTGCACGTTATCGTATTATAGCTCAAACGCAAATGCCCGGTTGTAAAAGTTAGCCTTTTCTATGTGTGTGTGTGTGCGTTTGTGTGTGCAAATGGAGTACGATTCTTGAGCATATTATATTGACAATATTATAATGACAAGCAAATTCAATCAAATTATCGGTTCTAATGAAGTGATGGGTAGCATAAAATCAAGACAGTTCAAGACCGATTTGAAATAACCACACAAGACACTGAGAACATACGTATACTGTTGAAATGCATACGAAAGAACAGTGCGGCTTTTGAGCCCAGATGATATCGCATTAGAATGTTTAAAATCATAAACGAAACCGTACGTGTAGAACTATTGACCCATAATAAATATATAGGTAGGTATAGCCTTATTATATAGCCGTATAGGTAGGTGTCTACCATTTGCATGCGTAACGTTATAGGCGTTATAGCATCGATGTATATAGTATATTAAAGAAATACTTGTTGTGAGAATTAAACAACCGCAATCGAAATAATATTTAACTAACCTAAAATATAAACTACCTGTACCACAAAACGGTTAAAAAGTATATTTTTATCATTCACAGATAAATTCTGAAATACAGTTAGAAATAAGAAAAACTTAATGGCCGTATATAATAAATTTAAACACACACAATTAGCATGCAAATTATTTACATTATTTAAGTAATAAATTTCCTAGGAAATGCTTTATTTTGTTTGAATCATTGTCCTTTTATAGGAACCTATATGTATATAATATAATGTTTAATTTGTACTATTTAAACATATTAATCTAAATTACTCAATAAAAATAAAACACCAAATAGGTACAACTAATTACCTAATCCATAATTGATAATAGTTTATATATATAACTATATATACAGGGTAAATTACCAAGTATTCTCTCCCCTATTTTTTAATTTATTTATGAATTTATTTGTACTCTGGTTTTTAGAAACTTTAAATATACTTAAAGACCATATTTTTAAATTCTTGAGATTTTTTTTTACAACTTAAGGAATGTTCTGAAAACTTCTGTTTTTCATATGAGAACACTTATTTTATTGTAAATTATTTAGCAGATCATTTATTTGAAGATGTTGATGTACCTAATTAAAAACTTGAACAAGTTACTCAGTTATTAAAATGTTCATATTAAAAATAATAGATCTTAACAATGGTTTTACAAAAATATAAATTATATGTAACATTGGATCTATTATTTATTATTCTTGAACCATTTTTACAAATTATAGACGTTGATAGATTAATAATATTCTTCTTATTCTTCTTCTAGAATTTTACAGGCCTTTAAGGTCCATCAGCACATCAACATAATTACTAAAATGTTCAAATCACCCCCATATCTTCTAAACCCATTATCATGAACATAGTATTATTATCCTTAATACAGAAGGTTTAATAGATAACTCAAAAACTACTCATTTGAAATTTGATTTTAAACATTTTCAGAAAATTATCAGCAAAATAATATACAGTAGGAAAGGTAAGTTCTCATTTGGAAAGCAAAAGCTTATATCTTCACAGGGCACTTTTTAAGTAGTACAAACAATCTCAATAATTTAAAATATGCAATAAGTATATTTAAAAATTCCAAAAATCAAATTGTAGAAAGATGGGGTGAGCATGCTTAGTAAATCACCCTGCTTACATGTATATTGTATATATATATAGCATGACTTAAATATACAATGTTAGATATATAGTATATACTACTATAGAGTATATAGTAACTAGCATCAACATTATTTCCAATTTTTATTAATGACACAAATTTTAAAAATTGTACAAAATTAATGTTTACAGATGATTAGTAACCAACGAAACTGAAGCTGATTTGCTTCAATTTTATTTAAATACTCTATGATACTCTTCTTTATGATACACTATATATGAATGGTGTTTAACAATAATTTTACTCTCAATATTAATAAATGCCAGATGATGACATTTTCAAGAGCTAGAATTGTTTCAAACTTTTGAAATATAATTACAATCTTAATGGTGACATACTACATCGGACTTCAAGGCTTATTAAGGACCTACTTATATTTGTTGATCCTAAACTTAAATTCAACTGTCACATTACTAACATTGTTAGCAGATCAAAATCAAACAAATTATTGGGTTTTATTCATCGTGATTGTGCTGACTTGATCGACTTACACAAAAATCCATAGATTGTTGTTTGGTACGTTCTACTTGTGAATATGTCTCAATAATATGGTATTCTTACCAATCAGGTCTTAAATGTAAACTGGAAAAAATTCAGCAACAGTTTTTACAGTTCCTCTCATTTAAATGTTCCATACCCAGAGAATAGCATTCTTCGTACTCCCCACTTTTCTAAATTCTCAACCTTATAACACTAGAACAATGACGTTTGCATTTAGATATAATATACTTTTCGTAAAATCTCTTCGCTGGAAATATTGATTGTCCTGAATTTCTTAACCATTTTTCCTTCTTCCATACTCCTGCTCGTAATACTAGATCTAACAGTACATTTTATCTTAACACAGAAGTAACTAATTATGCAAACAATACCCCCCTAAATAGAATTTTGAAAACCATTAACGATCTGAAATCGGTTTATACATTTCACCAAACTTTGACTCATTGATATATAATATTATAATTATATACTTGTCGATTCATATCTATTAATATCTAGTATTTACTATAAATTATTTGTTAAACATTGTATTTCTTGGTTTTTGTTCTTTTTTGTGTTTTGTTTTTCGTTTTTTCTTCGAGAACGATTATAACCAAATTTATGTAATTGGGTCTGGTCCGTTTAATACTAAAATAAATAAACTATAAACTTTTCATTAAATTACTCGTGAATAAAAAATATATTACACCTAATAACTCTTTAAATATGTTAACGTAATTTGTATATTTCAACAATAACTGTTTTGTTATTTAAAATTATAAATAGCTGTAAAATCTTATTATCATAATATAATGACATTATATAACATTTTATGTCCACGATGAATATTATAAAGCTATTTTTTTTATCATCTTAAGCTATTAACTATGATAGTTTTTTTTAAATAATTATACATGTACCTACCTATGATAATAATTAAGAAAACATCAAATATATTTATTTTAGTCGTAAGTATATAGAATTTATTTCAATACTATAGTGTTTATATAATTATTTTAACGTTGTATAATATACAAGCCTATATCAAGCGTTAATTTATTGATGGTTACATTTAATCCTATTAAAAGCTATTCCAAACAATGGATCCATTATTTATAGTTGTTAACAGATTTGTTAATTTTAATTAATTAATCTGTTACACTATGTGTTCTATAAGTGCACTTATTAGGTAAGTACTTTTCTTTAATTTGTACGTAATATGTTTAAGTTATATTTAAAATAACTGCAGTGGTAATAATTCACAACTATAAAGCAAATATTCTTGCTTATTTGCTCAACTATTTATGTAATAATATTAAATAACTCATCAAATAAAATGTTGATTTCAAATTAAATGTTTAGATCACATTAAAAAGTGTTCTACGTGAAATCTGCATCAATCTGATAGAATATCTTCCTCAACTGCCACCAAAACTTTATTTTAAATTGTCGTAAACTCGTAACAAACTGTTATTTTTACTATAATAGTTATTGCAGAATGCAGAAAGTTTTGAAACAAAAATATCAACCTTTTCGAAATGTTGATTTCCTTCTTGATTTCTTATAATAAGATTAAAAAACTGTGGTAGTATAAATGATATACCTACATATT